TCATCAGCACACATTTCTCTGACATCAGCACACATTTCTCTATCATCAGCACACATTTCTCTATCATCAGCACACATTTCCCTATCATCAGCACACATTTCTCTGACATCAGCACACATTTCTCTATCATCAGCACACATTTCCCTATCATCAGCACACATTTCTCTGACATCAGCACACATTTCTCTATCATCAGCACACATTTCTCTGACATCAGCACACATTTCTCTGACATCAGCACACATTTCTCTATCATCAGCACACATTTCTCTATCATCAGCACACATTTCTCTATCATCAGCACACATTTCTCTGACATCAGCACACATTTCTCTGACATCAGCACACATTTTTCTGACATCAGCACACATTTCTCTGACATCAGCACATGTTTCTGGGACATCAAATTGTTGACAGCAAATATCACTAATGAACAGAATCAAAACAAGGCATGCCCTATCCTGAATACACAGCCTTGCATCCAGGTACCGGTAATTCTATCTTTCAATATTATAGTGCCTATGATAGGGCGTGGTATGTCTGGTGGCGCAGCTCGGCGATTTGAAGTGCGTCCCTCTAAGTATGTGGAAAAAAGACTGTGGCGTATGGTTGTAAGTATGAATCAGATCATCTGTCACTTGTGTGTTGGAGGTTAGAAAGTTTTACATGACATTAGAAAGTTCAAATTATGGCATACTATCAAAGAAATCACATTATGAAAAAAAGTTGTATTATACTTTGTTTGGAGGGTGCGGAAGTACTGATTTGCAGAAAAACTGATTTGTAAAACAATGTGTGTAAGACTAGAAATGTACACTCTGATGGCACAATCCTATGCACTGAATCAGTAAAGCAATACTTTTCTGTGTGATCATAATCTAATAATTTTTTGTCTATTCACAGGGGTTTTACACAATGTTGACTGCACTTCCAGCTGCTGTTGTAATAACATATATAAACGTTTTTATTGGTAAGTTTTGTACAAGTTATAAATGTTACTTCCAGATTCCATGTAAAATTTTGAATTGGTTTATTATTATGTAATCCATTTATCTAAATTCTACATATATTATTGACTGAATGCGGATTGCTATATTTGTAACTGCATTGCAAGAAATTGCCAAGTCTAGCAGCTACCATCATAAATACAATGAATTATAAGCAAATAAGATCATTAAGAAAGTAATGCAGAGACACTGGCGATTGTTGGGCCATGAAATGTGGATGATAAGACCAGACATCCTTACACTGTACTCAGATGGATGTCACCTTGGAAGGGGAGGAAGAGGGAGACTACTGGGCACTTAGTGGAGGACAGTGGAAGAAGAAATGGGCAAAACCTGGAACAAGATCCACTGGCTTGCTCAGAATTGTGAAGGCCGGAGAAGTTACGATGACGCCTTATGCTTCAAAAGAGTCAAGTGGATGAACTAACTTAACTAAATTTGCATAATTCGCAATCCATGTATTTTAAACTGTGGTGATTGTTTTCTGTTTATGCGTAATTTACAATATTGTGTGTTAAATTATACTTGAAGCCTAAACAAAAATTTCACTTTGTCATAACGTTTTGGTAAGATACATGTTTGTAATATTTGGTACACACATTTTGCAGGTTTCATCACTTTGTCAACTGAGGGCACTGTGCAGTGGCGAAATAAGTGATAAAAGAGTGGTCTGCATTTTTTCGGTAGTGTGTGTGCGCTGACCTAAATGTAGCATTTAGTGTGACATGATAACACATATTACAAATACTCGCATAAACATAAAACAAATTTAGGATTTTCTAAAACCAAAACAAACTTGTGTATGTACCTATATATTGGTGACGAGTATGGTTGATAGTTTGTTTATATAGTGTATCTGTACTTGTGATTGCAGGGGAAGCCAAATTAACTGAAATACCAGAAGGTTATGAGCCAGAACATTGGGAATACCATCAAGTAAGAACTGTACTGTACTGTACTGTAGTAGTTGTCTCTTAGTTCCATATTTTAGGAGTGCACCATATATGTACTAGTTACATCATAGTGATATGATGGTTACAGCATATACACCACAAGTGCATACTGTAATACATGTTGAAAAAGCGACATGTAATTTTAGCGAATTGTGGTAAAATGGCGTAATAGAGAAATGTTGGTTTAGCGAATCTCTCTTGTCATTGTTGATTTCCTGTTTTCACAATACTTGTCTGTCGCGTGCCAAAACAAATGCGCAATTATCACCTTCATAAAAAGAAAAAAAAACTCGAGTGTAATTAGAAAGCGCCTCAGAATTTTATGGATTATTGTATACAAATCCCCAAGTCTTGGCCATTTTGAATTTATAATAAAGTCATTGGCGACATCTTGAATTAGCAAATCAGTTCTCTTGCTAAATTCGCTAAAAAGACATGCTCGTGAAAAAGACATGTTTTACAGTAATATTCATGTGATCATGATTGAGTTAATTTGTACCATGGCTGCTGTTAATTGAGGAAGTTTTGACAAATCTGTAGCATATTCAGTGTCAGGGTCAGTATCGTGTACCATGCCTTAGCCTCTTCATTATCAGACTTTCTCACTCAAATTTGTCTGCCCTCTGTTTTTATATACTCCAATATTTGTGGAAATGAACCCTAATTTTGGAGCCAATAGACAAAATTTGCGTAAATTTTCAGTGTTTAATCAGAAAATTTGGCTATTTTTGTCCCAATCTTCTGAAGAAAAAGTGCAGACTATAAATGGGACTATTTTGTGAATTTGTGATGAAAAGAGAAAACTGGTGGTGAAAAGTTGTCATATAACGTAAAATTCTAGAGCACCAATTGGTCAATTCAAGTATCGTAGTATTGTGTAATACGTTACTTGTCTATAGAGCTTTTGATACGAGTGATGACGTGGGCAAATATTAAACTGAAGATGAATGAAAATACCAACCAGCTCTACGAATAAGTAATATCAGGTGTTTTGATTACATGACCAACTCGGTCAAAAAGATGGGGAAATCATTATTTTTACCAATCTATGCTTATGAATCATATGTTAATTTATCTCAACTAGGCATGGCATCCAAGCGCATCAGTGAATGTTCATTTTCAGTTATGGCAGTAGATAGATATTTATAAATAAACTCATTATGAGCTGTTGCCATCTCATCATGCGAGTAATCCAGTCTTAAATTCTTATATTGCTGTGAAATGAGAGCAATTTGTTTTTCTCTGTACACTATTCAAACATGCATAAAATAACACTAACATCGTGATGTTTACCATACCTTATCGGTTGGTTATATTACACGCTAAATGTCACAGCTGTCAGGGATGTGGATGGTGGCCATGTGATAAGTAATACTAAATAGTTGAATGGTCTGCTACACTTGTAATCGTGTGGGAAAATTTGTTTCTGCATCGGTCCAATGTTTTTGTTATGTAATAATTTTGAACTTTTATTTTCAGCATCCAATCACTCGATGGTTAGCTAGATACGTGGTTGGTGCACCTCAAAAGGAGTATGAAAAATTCATTGATTACCTTGAAATAGAAAATGAAAAGAAACAACTTAGGTAGGCAAAACACAAACACATGTGTTGCAATGAATATTCAATCATATGTGACAATAACCACATTGTGTAATTAATTTTATCTGACACCCCTACTGTAATAATTGCCACAGTCTCTGTTTACTAACATTTTGACAAATAATTACTTTTTGTAGATCACAAGAGAAGCAAGTACGTCGTATGATGAGGCAACATGGGGACGGTCATTGGTACTACTACCCAACCCCATCACCTGATGTCTACGATGATAAATCATAGTCACCTTTGTAAATCATTATAAGTTTGTTTTAAAAATCAATTGTTTTATTTAGTAGCCTTGAGTTTATGAAGATTTTGTTCACTGTCTATCCTTGCGGATCTCCAGTTTTAGTACAAAATTTGTATAGATCTGCTAGTCACCAGAATGTAATGCATTAAAACCACCCTTTTAAGTATCTACAGCTTTGAACTGTTAACAAACCGTCTCTGAAATTGCTCTTTACTGTTAGTTACCTGTAGCTGTAAATTAAGTGATTTTTTTGTTAGTTTTGACTGCTTACTAATGACCAAATAAATTTTCTGCAGTGTTTCATGGCAAGGCAGATATCGATCATTTCCTGACATTTCTCAGCTTGCATGTTATATATCCACACACGTTTGAAAAAAAAATTCTTTCTTTTAGTACGTGTGTCAAATCAACATATACCGTATTTGCTGTATTAGAACCACATCTTCAATAGTGCATGTGCATATAAACCAAAAATCGCATTGGCTGTGTATAAAATCATCAAAATATTACCTCTTCTGACAAAAGAAAATACTGTGTAATTTATGCAAGTGCATATGCTGCTACTACAGTATAATAGAGCAAATACAGTAATATGTTAAATATGGCACCAATAATAAGGTAATTGAACAATTAAAGATTTGTTGTATAATATTTTGGTCTGAGTAGTTCATCAAATCTACCATTTTGTTTTGTTTTGCAATCTTCACTTCATATCATCTTTGAATATACCAGGTTATGGTTTCTGTGCCATATATTTTTTTCCCAGTAAATACTCATCTTAATTTCTCATGTTTCCCAGCCTAATTCATTCAGGAGATTAAAATGTACAATATAATCTCCAAAGATTAATTCATGTATCGCCACAAATTTTAAAAGTGATTTGAAGTGATACAAATTTTTGTTTCACACATGCCTTGTATCATGAACCAACATTAAATGGCAATGGTTATAATGGCCCATGCGACACATGTAAATAACATTGTTTACCTGACAATCAAATGTGCACTGCATGCCAACCACTGTCCCTTTAATGACTGAAAGTTGCTGATGTAAACGAACATGTCAATGCACATACATGTATCAGCAAACACCAGTGAATGATGACAATTGTATTCCATAAAGCGTAATACACAGCAAAGTTTGTGTAAATTGTTCAAAATTAGTGTAAAGAGGTTGTTAGAATAAAAGAATTTTTCAAGACGAAACCATGGTTTCTCTACTTCAAATTTGACTGTTTGGGTGCTTTATTCATGTAATGTGAATCTCAAAATTACCAATGTTTCATTAGTTATACCACTCTTTGCCTTGTAAACATTATTTCTAAACACTGTGTTTATTATTGGCAGAGGGCAGTTTTACATCAAGTATCTTCTTGGAGAGTACTCTTTCTTTGTCAACATTTGCGGTTACTTGTTTATTCCAAACAATGTTTATTAGAAAAGGACGTTATTTTTGTCAGCATTTACTAGTAAGTGGACTGTTTCTCAGAAGTTTGTTCTCACATCATCTTAGTGAAGAGTACAATTTTCCCCTCACTATTTACAAAATCGGACATTTTTACTATGCCCGATTCATCAAAGATGGAAGAGAAAGGTATATTAAGGGGAAAATGTCTGTTGGCGTTGTTGTTGTTGTTGTCGTCGCCGCCGCCGTTAATAATTGTTAATGTGTGCACAATAACTTTACAAATTTTATTCCAAACTTTATCAAACTTGGTCACCTATTTCATCAATATAAAATCTTCAATATAAAATATAATATAAAATCAAAGGTCACTGATCTCAGTGGAATTGTGCATTGCTGTCTGTGTTCAATGATGCAAATCATTTATCTTGTAATAATATCATTGGTATCTCCCAATTCCCATGGGAATACTAGACTCGTTTCAAAACCAACTCATGGAGAGAGTTGCACAGTCTGATACACATTTGCAAACTTATAAAAATACAGCAAACGATGTCAGAAAATCGATATAAGAACTCCTATGAATTGGGTGCCAATCTTTTGATCAAGATCTGAAGCCAATAGAAAATCTGTTTAGTCCAAACTTATCAGATCAAAAACAATACATAACAAATACATAGATATGTAATTTGTACACTTGTTGGTGTCGAGCATTTCTGAACTCGGAGCTTGGTCAGGTATCAGATTTGAAATTTTAGAAGCAAATAAAAGTTCTCTCTCAACTATTCAAAGCGTTGGCCAAGCTGGGTTTGAACCATACCTTTCATATCTGTAGTTGGTGCCTATAACCCCTACTCCATGGGGTATTTGGTTGCACTAGCTATACAAAAGTAGATGTTTAAAGAATACATTACATAATACATGCGGAAATGCACTGAAGTCTTGTGTTTATGCAAATGTACCATCCTACTGACAGCAATGTGGCATTGGATTGTTGTACAAATTATTAATCGCACATTGTAGCCACACTGATACAATAGGCCACACTTCATGACATATACAAGTTGCCGACACTTGAAACAGCACAGCTACAAGGTGTGAATAACTAATATCACAATTACATTTGTATTAAAGTACAGACTCACTTAGGAAGCCACAAATGTAATCCGCTTTTTGCAAGGAATGGCATGCTAGTTTATTATTAGACTTTTAGCGAAAGCACATGATTTTGAAATGGTAGCAGTAAGCTAGGTCAACTTAAATGTTGGCAATACCTGTGGTTGAATTGGCTTAATCTTTCGACATCCAATTTCAAAAACTAGACAAATCATTTTTTAATTTTGTAAAATGGCCCTTGATGTAACAACTAAACATTTCAAATAACTATTAGCGCCCTCATTGTAAGTTGTCCACGCTCCCAAACATCGAGTGATTAGCATCCTCGATCCAATCCCAATGTGCACATTTAATCACAGACTACAAATGATAAGGTACATAATTAAAATCAATTGTTTCATGATAAAATATACAAAAAACTTTGGAAGCTGGCTTTTTAGTCCCCGTTCGGAAGTAGTCCGACAACTGGGACTTATGTTTTGCCCTGTGTGCGTCCGTGATCACCTGTATCTCGAACATGCATAGACCGATTAAGTTCAAACTTCACTCATACATCACACATTATATGGGACATATGCACATGCATTTTTTTCATGATCCGATTAACGATAGCCGAATAGCGGCAATATTAAGGTCGAAAATGCATTGAAATCGCACATTTTCACCATTCCGAACCTGGATCTCAGTTATGCAAGGACGGATTTTGTTCAATTTTGGTACATACATTAAACATAATAGACCTTGATGCACGTCATTTTTTTTTCCGGATCAAGTTTGAAATGGCCGACTGGCCGGCCATT